GGATTGTAAAGCAGCTAAAAGGACCGTCTGGCAGCTGCCAAAGGGGCCAGGACTGAGCGACTCGCCCGGGCGTGCGACTCCGTTACATATAGCCCGGGTGCCACCTCTGGCTGTCTCCTCCCGCCCCCGCTGCTCGGGTCACGGCAGCCTCGCGGGGCTGGGCAAAGCCCCCAGGGACGCCCACATGCACCCGGCTGGGCAGGGCGGGTGGCGCTGGCTGCACGACGCTGAGCCGGGCTCCCGCTGTCCCGCTCTGGACCCCGAGGCTGGAAATGAGCACCAGGGAGTTCACCGCAATGGCCATGGTCGTTCTACGCTGTGCACGATGCGTGTGCGCGATGCACGATGCGTGTGCATCTGGTACACGGCGCACGATGCGTGTGCGTCTGGTACACGGCACACGATGCACAATGCGTGTGCGCGATGCACGATGCGTGTGCATCTGGTACATGGTGCACGATGCGTGTGCGTCTGGTGCACGATGCGTGTGCGCGATGCATGATGCGTGTGCGTCTGGTACATGGCGCACAATGCATGACACCTGTGCACGGCACATGATGCGTGTGCATCTAGTACATGATGCACGATGCGTGTGCGCGGTGCATGATGAGTGTGCCTCTGGTACACAATGCACAATGAGCGTGTGTCTGGTACACGATGCATGTGCGTGATGCACGATGCGTGTGTGCAGCACGCAATGCGTGTGCGTCTGGTACACGATGCACAATGAGCGTGTGTCTGGTACATGATGCATGTGCGTGATGCACAATGCGTGTGTGCAGCACACAATGCGTGTGCGTCTGGTACATGATGCACAATGAGCGTGTGTCTGGTGCACACGGCACAGCCTGCAGTCCCCAGGGCTCGAAGCGGGGCTCTGTGGGAGAACCATTCACCCAGCTGTTCCCCATCTCTCCTCTCCTCGTGGCCGGGTTATTCCCCGCAAGTCCTGTTCCAGCATTTAGCTCTTTTCTGAGCGATGCCCCTCCTCCCGTGGGGCGGTATCCGGCTGCTGGGAGTGGGTGTATTGATTAGCTCTTTGCTGCGGTTATCTAGGCTGACCCGCCGTACGGCGCAGGCCGGAGTCCGGCCCCGAATTCCTTCTTGTTTGAACCCGAGCGGAACTTGAAGACGTCCAGCATTGACTGACAAATTTGCCAGTGCTGGAGGATCGGTCACAGCCCTCGGGAAGTTGTCCCAGTGGTTAATTTCCCCTCTGGATACGTCTGTGCTGCAATAAACCCCAAACCTGCCTGTGGCCCCGGGCGACAGAGGGGGCAGGGGGCCAGCAGTGGACACGGCTCGGGGGCTCATGGAACGGGGCTGTCGAGCAGGCTCGGGCTGGAGCTCGGGCTCTGAAGCCTGCAGCGGGAAATGTTTTTTTGCAGTGTAGACATACCCGAGGTGTTAAAATTCAGCGTTAATTTGTCTGGCTTCCACTCCCAGCTGCTGGCTCTCGTTAGACTGACGAGACCCGATTAGCGATTCCTGCTCCCATGCAGACTTCGCTTCCCGACGCGGCTCCAGTTCTCTAGTTTGTCCCCTGCCTGGGGGGGCTGAGCCGGAGCCTGGGCTGGGGGGGATCTTGGGCCGCTCCGCATTGTGCCGGCGCAGGGGTTGGTGGGTGTTTGGAGCGTTTCGGTGCCTGCGTACGCACAGGGCCGAGCATCGCCTGTAACACACCACGGCTCAATTTCCACCTTTTCTCACACTGGGGCTACGATTCCTTTCTCAGCCGGCACTGGCAACATCCCACCCCCGACCTATGTAAAATCTGTCTCCCATCCTGACGTGCTCTCTCCTCTGAGAGCCCTGGTCCAGTTTGCTGCCGGTGTCAATCCGGAGCGACTCTGTTGAATTCAATCTGGATTGACACCGATGTAATGAAAATCCGGCCTGGTCAAGGAAAGCGTTGGGCCGTATTCACAGCTGGTGTCGGGGTTAGGCCAGGACGGAGGCTGGCCCGTCGGCCGTGCTACCTATGAATTCCCATCCCCAGTCTAGCCCCGTGTAAGTTCGCACGAGCGGAAAAGCACTTAAAGCCAAGTGTGATTAAAGAATTGCCAAGGACTCCCGGCCACGGCCCCGCCTGCGCTCCTGGGCGTCGCGTGTTTCAGTCCCATCTTCCCAATAAAGTGTAATAAATAATCCAAAAATCAACTTGCCGCTCTCAAACCCAGAGATTTGGAACAGCCGAACTTTCCCCCCTCCCTTCGGCCTGCCCGGCAAGAGCTTTCAATAGGGTTGATAAATTTTTGATTTCTTCCTCCGCTGGCTGCGGCATATTCCTCTGCCGGCGTGTTTGTAATAGTTCTTTCACAGGTAACTGGCGCTGCAATGTTTGGTGCCTGCAAATCGGGAGTGAAGAGGTTTTGCTCGGTGGGTTCCCCCCCCCGTCCAGCCCCCCGGTCTTTTATTTTTGCTGTGTTGTAATGTGGGGGGGGGCCGGCGGTGTTGGGCTCATTAAACCGCAGGGCGGGGAGAATCTGATTTCATGGTGATCCAGTTTTACTTTTCACGTCTCAGTCACTTCTGCTCGCCCAAGGTTAGCGTGACCAGCAGGCCGGCTGCGCTGCCCTTGCGTTTCGGGGGAGGGAAGGGGCTCGCCACCCCGCCTGCCTCATCCAGCTAACTCGGAGACTGAGTCTCTCCTGAGACCACTGGGTTTGTTTGGATCTCCGATGAGGAGCAGGGCTGGCTTTTCTTTTGATTTTCCTCCCCCTTGTGGGAAGGCAGAAGCCAGTGGATTTTGGTGGGATCGGTTGGCGTGTGGAACGTAATCCTGCAGAAGGGAAGTGTGCGTGTGCGTGTGCGTGTGCGTGTGCGTGTGCGTGTGATGCTCTCAGTCCCCCACCTCCAGATCTGCCGCCCTGGGGAAATTAACCCCCAGCCCCCTCTTACCTGGGCCTTTGTGGTGAAGCTTAAAAAGCAGGGGCATGGCTGGGGGCTGGGTGCAGGGTTTGTAGTGCCTGGCAATGCATCTACCCATGATCCTGCTAAACCATAAGGTGCCACCTCCGGTGGGTCAGGGGCTGTTAAACGCTTCGTGCCCCGGGGGCTCTGCTGGGGGGAAGGGGAAGGATTTTGGTGCAAACAAACCAGCCGGGGTGAAATGTGCAGGGTGGGGCGGCTGGGAGTTCACCGCTGTGGGTTTCGCCTCCCACCCCCATGGCCTGGTTGGCCCCCGGCAATCTCTCAGCTGAACCCTCGGCTGTGCAGAGCTCACGGGGCGTCTGGCGGGTCAGCTGGGGAGGGGGGGACGACCCGGGTTCATTCTCCCTCCGTGCCATTGGGCGAGTCGCCTGTCGCCCACTTCCCTGCTGTGAAACCGGCTGAGGTCGGCCAGCTTGCGAGGGGCGAAGGGGGGGTGGCGGCGTCGGACTCCCGGCCCCTCCCCGGTGCGTTGTCGGGGGAGGGAATTTCCCCAGCTCTGCCTCAGGATTCAGTTTCCTTTGCAGAAGCGCCTCCGGCCGCCGTGCGGTTCAGCCCCCTGCCCACGAGCCCCCGGCCGGGCCCGGCTTGGCCAGAAACTTTGACTCCCCGGCGAGTGGCGAGGTCGACGGGCCGGTGGCTTGGCGGCCTGTGCGGGGAGGGGGGTTTGCATGGCACCAAAGCGCCGGGTCTCGAACCTGGTCCCGGGAGGTGGCTGCGAGGAGCACAGATTGCAAACAAACAGCTGCTGTTTTCCTCCCAGCGCCTGGAAGCACCTTGGGGTACGGGGGGGGGGCTTGCGTGGAGCTGGGGAGGGCAGTCTATAGCCGTGGCTACGATTGGCCCAGTGGCCTTTGGGGGACGGGGCAATTTCTCGGACAGCCAGGCTCCTGGATCTGCAGCTGCCATGTTAGCGACGCGTTCGGGGTTGGGGGGGGGGCAGGGCTGTGTCTGGGGACCCCCTGGATCAAAGGAGCCCCAGGGACTGCCCCGGCCCCTGCTGCCATCTGAGCTGACCTGCCCACAGCGGAATTTGGCTTTTGGGAGACCCCTCCCCGGCAGGGGGTGTCTCTTGTGCCCCTTTGGGGGTCTGGGGGGACCCCGATTCTTACAGGGAGCTGCTGGTCCCAGGAATGACTCTCATGCCCAGAGGGGGGGCAATGCGGAGGGGAGGTTCTTGGGGAGTAGCGGATAGGAGATACTTGCTTGGCTTCAGGCCTGCACAGCACCCCCCTTCCCCCGACTTGCCCGGACACCTGGGTCCCGGGAATGACCTCTGGCAGCGGGTGAGGGGCGGGAAAAGCGTTCCGACGTGACAGTCTGGGCCTGGCCCGGAATAACTCAGTTAATGGGGGGAGGGGGGACAAGCAGGTCAGGTTGGGGCTTGACCCCCGCAGGGCGGCGCCGTGATGTCCCCAGGTCAGACTTCCTGCTGGCCGCTGGGCATCCCGCACCCTCCTCGCGCCCCGAGTCCAGGCGGATTTGAGGCCCGTGAGTTCGGTTGGCTGGAGATGGAGCGTGTCTAGGTCAGAGCAGGGGGACCTGGGAGCCAGGACTCCTGGGTTCTATCCCTGGCTCTAGAAGGGGGGGGGGGCGGGGCTAGTGGTGAGAACAGAGGGTGGCTTGGGAACCAGGTGGCCTGGCTGTGTCCTAATCGCTGCTGGTGACTGGCAGTGCAGCCTCCCGCGCATCCCTGCCCCCTGCCGTGCCTCAGTTTCCCCCTCTACAAAACGGGGGTTGTCACGGAGTTGCAGGCTCAGGAACCGGATGCCGCCGGCCGGGACGCTGGGGCGGGGTCTCCCCTCAGGGCTCACTCCCCCGGGCATGGAGCCGGCTCGGTTCGACGCCTCGTGGGTCTGCCCTCGGTCACCCTGTGAGCCCCCCTGGGGGAGCCTGACACGCCCCCCAAGGGCCCTGCCCCCCACCCGCGGCCGGCAGGGACTCCCAGCCAGCGGGTGAGAGGCGGTTTGTTAGTCGCCGGGAACCCAGCGTAGGACAGAACTGGTTAGCACCCACCAGGGACGCTCAGCAAAGTGCATCTGGGGGGGAGCCAGAGCCCACGGCCCTCCCCCCGAGTCCCAACCCAGGAGACTGACCCCTTCCAGCTGCCCAGCCGCAGTCCCCCCCCCGCCCCCCCCCCCCCCCTCGGCCCCTTTCCCAGGCCAGCAGGTCACCTGGTCTGCACCAGCATCTCCGGCTGATCCTTGCAGAGGACGGGGCCCATCAGTTGCCACCCTTCAGAGTGTTGGCCATTCTCGGCTGCCTGTCGGCCGTCACACCTGCCCTCTAGGGGTCGCTGCGATGACGCACCTTATCCTACACCACCGACATACTTGAGTAGCACAGAGGGGAAACTGAGGCACACACCGTATTCGGAGACAACATTAAGAACATTCCCACTTCGTCCTGGGAGCGATGCCGCCTCCTCCTGGGGCGGGGCCGCAAGACAGCAGGTGTTTGCCGGCCACTGGGAGCACTGAGGACTCTGCCCACTGGAGCCTCGAACCCCCTTCCCAGGCCCCCGCGCTGCAATCCGGCTGGCAGCTCCGGCTGCGGGTTGCCCAGCTGGGGCCCGGGAGCCGTGGGAAACA